GTCGGAAACTAACTATAAATGGCAATGGGAAACTTGTATCATACTAATATTACCGTACTGGTAGAATAATATTTTCTAATTGGTTCTCTTCAATGACAAAGACAAGTGTGGGTGAAACAAAATCCTTTGTTTCTAAAACACGTATATCATTATTTATTTTCTCTAACGAGTTTTTATTTGTTTCTTTCTTGTATTTTTTTTTTGTTGATTAACGGAACTGACTAGAATGTCATCCTCTGCTGTCTGTCGTATGAAACCGTTGTGAGGATCAAAATCTGAAAAAAGAATTGAAAAGGTGGCGAACATTATTTTAAGGAAAAAGTAAGATATTTGCCAATATTGTATGAGAAATTTATGAACTATACTGCACTATAGAAGAAAATAGCTACAAATGTTTTTATGTGAATCTGTTGCGAATGTGTAGTAGTAAAGGTCTTCATTTGACTTTCAGATATGTTAAATGTCTGCAGAAAATTAGATACCAATCAAAATTTCACACTATTAATGAAGAATAAAATTCTGTTAATCAGTGAAAATAAAGAAACGGTAGATGATTCACTAAAAATTATTATACGCATCAATGAGGATTTTGGTAGGGACTTTGAAATGAAACGTTAGTCTTTAAATCACGCTGGTCAAAGTGATAGATTGCGTCAGTGAAATATATAATTGCTTAAAATTTTAAATCATAACAATATTTTTTAGTGGAAAACCACAAAAGTTTAGTGTAATAATACAAGATTTTAGCTACATTAAGTTTTAAAAGAGTCGCTTGAGAACTTAATGATAACTTGACATCTCCAGCCAAAAAGCAAAGGTTTTTAGCTGGAAACCAAAAAGGAGAAAATTTTCAGGCATAAGTCAGATACGTGTCGGAAAACGGTGCACTTCTCTAACGCTCACTAACTACGTTAAATTAAAATCTGATAAAGCCAAATGATACAACACGTGAGCTCTGTTCAATCACATTCACTAACGTTCATAAAAGTTAATAACACTCATAGATCTGATATTTCGTTCTACATATTTTTCTACGCACTCGTTTAGCCAATTTATCTATTGACTTTTCTTTGGATGCTAGTAAGCGATGGCATAATTTACAAATTTTTTTTAAATATTAAACAAAAATACATTAATTATCCATCACATAAAATAATATTTATACAAAAAATATACGACAAATACTAATCAAAAAGAAAATGACTTAGAAGAGTATCACTGAAGAGTTTAGTACTAATTCTCTAAAGTCGAGAGTTAGTAACTTTTGGAAAAAATTTACAAGATTTATAACTCCGGTCGAAATTTATAACACGGTTTACAAAAGTTGAACGGATAGCAAAATGAGGCTTGTCGATTGTTGACTAAAACTGTAAGAAAAACTGAAGTTCTCGATCAGTAAAATAAATTTTTCTTTTTTTCTTTCGTTTATAAGTGAAATATAACATGTGTAGAAATATGTTACAAAGAAGGCCTTCTCTATATATCTTTTCTTTGTTTTCTGTTAACTATACAGAAAGACGATCTGTTTTTCTATTATAGGTGCCATTCAACTACTTATTGTTTGGTTGATTTATAAGCATGCGATTTAACTTGATTTAAATTTGTTATTTGTGTGACGTGACATACAGACGAAAAAATATTCATACTAATAAATATATGTTGTTTGAAATCAGATATGATTTATCTGATATGAAACTCAAAATTAAAGAATCGATTTCTTCTTTGCTTCCTTACTTTTAACACTAACAATTTATTCTCTTAATACGATTTATAAATTTCAGCCAGATTTATAAAATGTTTATAAAAAGGAACCTTTTAAACTCTTCAGTGAAGAATATTGAGATAAATAATTGACTTCATTTGAGAATATGGAAAGAATATTGCACATGCCAACAAATAATAATATTTCCCACTCTAAAAAACAATATACAAAAGTTTAAGTAAGATCAATTGCAATCTTGATTTGCATGCACTTCTAGCTTTTGCCATTTTCTATCTCTACTCCATTATCACCAACCAATCTAGTTCCATTGTCACCAACCAATCTCGTTTCATTATCACCAACTTCTTTATGTAATAACCATATACATGTTTGTCCAATGCCGGTCATCGCTACTGCCCGATAACCAATTTTCTCTAATTTGTCTAGGACAATTCGAGCACAATCGCTTGTTCTATACTCTGAGCTGAAAGATGATAAATGATTGAATACACAAAAAAAATTGTGAGAGATGGAGACATATTTACACTTACAAATTATTTCCTTTTTCGTGAAAAAGGGTTGCATCAAGGTAATCCATTATTTCAGGATCTGTTCTTTCGTCGCCAACAATAGTCGGTCCGGGTTCTAATCTAATTTTAGTACTTATAAGTAAATGAGGCATAATTAAAAGCAACTAAATCTAAAAAGAGGATGTAATTAGTTTAACACATTGGTTCTGATATGATGTGCAGAACTCTATTTAGTCCAGATTATGTTTTGTCAGATATATGATCTGACCACAAGTTATTTTCTCTATATCTGACTTAAAAAGAGAAATATTTTATTTTGAAACAGCGTTTTCAAAAACTGATCATAGTATTAAGATAAAAAATTGTACTTATGTCATATGCAGGACATATTATATAATCAAAGAAATATAAAAACCGATATCTGTAGTAAAGAACAATAAAAATCACATTAAGAAACAAAACATTTGCCTATCACAGACGAGCTTTAAAAGACATATAAAACATACTGAAATTGATATCACGAAAACTGAAGGCTTTTTGTTTTGAGTAAAATATAGAAAACATGCACAATAATTGTAAATAGAAACATTAATTTTTATTCAACATTTCTATAATATCTTTGAAATTGGGCCGATCGCCAGGCTCTTGTTTCCAACACTTTGTCATAATATTATACATCTCATCACTACATTTCACCGGTTTCTTCAAACGCTCACCTTTTAGTTTAAAACAAAAAATATTATTATTAGTTTTATATTGATCAATGACAAAAAATGCAATTAACATTTTAACATTTTTACCTCGTTTTAGATAGTCGATGATTTGATAGGGTTGCATATGCAGGTACTCATAGGGTGTGTCAGCTTTGGAAAATATTTCCCACATTGTAATGCCATAGCTCCACACGTCACATTTTGTAGTGTAATAAGCTTGAAAAATAAGACATTCGGTCAATAAACTTGTTTGCTTTCTGTGAATTATTTAAACAGCTACGAGTGTATACTGTTAGTATTAC